ACCCCTCCTTGGGTTTCCGAGGCAGTATCACTATGGAGGTAGATTGCCTAACCTTCCTTTCAGGGAATGGCTGGCGGATTTGAACCACCAGCCTTCTGGTTAGCAGTCAAATGCCTTAGGCACTACGCCACCAGACTACAAGAGAAATAAAAGGGCCCCAGTCAGCCAGGAGACCAGGTTCCTGGTCCTGACCTTCCTGAGCATGGCTAAGAAGCTGATGTGACTCCAAAAATCAAGGATAGCAGCACTATTTACAATAGCCAAAACTTGGAAACAACCTAGATGTCCAACAACTGAGGAATGGATAACCAAACTTTGGTACATTCACACAATGGAATACTATGCAACGCTAAAGAATAATGTAGAATCTGCAGAACACCGCATAACGTGGATGAACTTGGAGGACATTATGCTGAGCGAAATAAGTCAGTCACAAAAGGACAAATATTGTATTAGTCCGTTATTGTAAAAGTTAAGGAAATGTTTATATATTGGAGGACATTTTCTTTGTTGGTTACCAGGGGTGGGAGGGAAGGGGAGGGAATGCTGTTAGATAGATAGAGATAAATATTGATTTGGGTGAAGAGAAGGGCAATGTACCAAATGTGAGTGACCAATATGGCAGCATTGAGGATGAGAAAGACAGAGAGAGTTACATGGGCAGTACAAACAACAAATATGAACCCCTTTGTAAATACAATACTGAGTTGTTAATGAAAGCAAATATGGGTATAGGGACGGATAGATGGGTGAACAAGCTAAACAATTATGTATGTCTAAATGGGGAGTGTATCCAAGATCATATACAGGGTTGGCAGAATATGGCCCTCTCGAAGAGTATGAAGGGATGGACACTGGGAGGAGGTAACTATGGGGAGGAAGTGGGAGGGGATCTGCTGATTGTAAATTTTGGTCAATGACATGAGACAAAGTATATGTGAACTGCTGTATGAAAAGTGAATTTACTCTGTAAATCTTCACCCAAATCCTAATAAAAAAAAAAAAATCAAGGATAGACACAGAGCAATACAGCAGGCCAGTGCTAGAATAAATCACTGCCTAATACCTATCTCTGGCAGATTATATATGGAACCAACTTTGTGCCCAGCACTGTACTAAGTATTTTGCAGAAAAATATCTCATTTAATAAGGAGATCTAGTGGCACTGTCATTAAGGCAGTGGGTTGCTAACCAAAAGGTCAGTGGCTCCAACCCACCAGCCAATCCACAGGAGAAAGATGAGGCAGTCTTCTTCCATAAAGATTTACAGCCTTGGAAACCCTGTGGGGGAGTAACTATGAGGCGGAATGATGGTTTTTATTTTTTTTTTTATCTTATTTAACCATGCCTGGATGGCATAAATTTAAGTGCTGGACTACTAGCTGAAAAGTTGGCAACTTGAACCCACCTAGGGGCTCCTCTGGAGAGAGGCCTAGCGATCTGCTTCCCAAAGGTCACAGCCTTGAAAACCCTATGGAGCGGTTCCACTATTCCACCGCAACTAACAACCACAACACCACCACCTCATTTAATTCTCACAGCAACCCTGGGGCAAGGAGGGGTGTTAAATATATTATCCTCATTTTACAGATGAGGAAACAGAAGCACAGAGAGGTAAAGTAACTTTGCCAAGTGCACACAGCTAAAGGGGAAAGAGCTGGAATTTGGACCAGCAACTCCTGGCTGCACAGCCCATGCTCTTTGCCTTCAGCTGTGCTGCACCTCTAAGTTAAGATCCACAGGATTGTCAGGGGCTGGGGCATAGAGCCTGCAGGGATTGGCCTGGTATCCTGAAGTATTGATGAAGGCTAATTAATGATTGGCCGTCACATCCCTCTGCAGCACCACTTTAGCTTTCAAAGCACTTTTACATTCCTCACCTCACTCAGTCCTTCAGTTACTTTTCCCACTCATGGGATAGGCCCTGCTCCCTAGCATCTGGGGAGCTGGTGGCACAGCTGTGACAGGGGTTTGGGAGAATGGAGGTGGTATGGGAGAGGGAATTCCAAATCCTCCAGGGATGTATGTAGGAATTGGCCCCCTTACCACATACCAGGCCCTCGGTAAATCTTTGTAAAGTCACTTTGAGATGCGAATTATCATCATATCCATTTCATAGATGAACAAACTAAGGCTCAGGGACTGGGAAGGGAGGTGCTTTGGCACCTCTCCTCTTTCTGTGAATTTCAAGCTGCATATCCAACAGGATGAGGAGGGTCTGCCATGATCAGTAGTGCTGGGGGCTGGGGAAGGGGAACAGCTGATGGAGGAAGAGGATGGCAGAGGGGATCAAGCTAAGCCCTTCTTCTCTGTTGGTCTTGTGCCTTCGTGCAGCAGTCTGTGCTGTTCCCTGACAGTCTTGTGTGTGAGTCTTGCCTCTGCATCTAAGTGTTCTGCCTTCCTGAGACAAGAGCCAGCTGGTGGGTCCTGAGCTGGTGAAGCCCAGGGAGTGGGGAGCAATGAATGAAAAAGTGCTTGCAACCCTCTTGACCTTGGGTCTACCCATGCCCCTGATGGAAAAATGCCACACAAAGTGCCTGAGAAGAACCACTAGGCAGATTCAGCTTTGCAGCCCCCATGAAGGATGAAGAACCAAGAGGGAATGAGGATGCTGCAAGCCTTCTTCCCAAACCAGAGCCTGATACCCCTGCTTGATGACCCCATCCCCTACAAACCCCATCTACAGGAAGTCAGTTCTGGCCTTTGGCTTTCCTGCCTGGGCCTCCCAGAGCCTCATCTGCCCTTCTCCATAGTGTTCCCTGCTCATCATCCAATGTCCATACCCTGCCTGGTGGGTAGGGGAACTCTGAGGCCTGCACCCCCCCCAGCTGGGTGCCATTGGCAGAGGGCTGGCAGGTGGCATACGGGGTAGACTCCGGTTGCCGTAGCAACCTGCCAAAGTCTTGGGTGGAGGCACATGGCCTACAGGGTGTGTGGGGGGAGGGGACTCATCTTTCTTTGTCCTGGCTCAAGCCCCTGGGCTGGTATAGCCTGTGAACAGGAAGCTCTGCTATAAGGGACATGGGAGTGGTGTGTGTGTGTGTGTGTGTGTGTGTGTATGCTAAGGAGGGAGGGAGCATCTAAGAAATCTGCAAATAAATGCTATGGTTCCCGCTCACCCTGTCTTAGCCCTGAAGGGCACTCTCCTCACAGCATCACAGCTTATGCTTAAGGTACCATCTCTAGAAGGCCCCTGTCAAAATGCAAGTAGGCTGTTCATTAGTTCACCTGATAAAGTCCCTGACTAGTAGTCAGGAAGTTCTAAGCGTAGCTCTGCTACTAGTACGCTATGTGACCTAGGGCAAACCCCTCTCCTTCTCTGGGCTTCAGTTTCTTCAGTTGTCAGTCAGTGGGTAGGGTTGGTTTGATTTATCTGTGAGATGCCTTCATGCTCTGGATGGCTATGCTGGGGAAGGGAAGGCACGTGCCTGGAAGGTGCTCAGTTGTGAGTAGGCTCTGAGCTGTAACATGCTGACACTCAGGCTGAGCATCAATCCTGGCTCTTCTAGATGGACCTGCTATGACACAGGTTCCACATCCCGGCCCAGGACTGAGATCCTAGACAACTCCCATGGCCCTAACAGGACCCTGGAGCATCTGAAATGAGGTGTGTGTGCTGGGGGAAGGGAGGACTATAATCCTTTGGACTCATGAGGTTGGAGGGGAAAGGGACGCTCAGAGGCATCGGGCCTTTGACCTCTAAATTGTACTACTTGAAGATGCTCAGCCCAGACCCTGGCTGGCCCAATCTGAGGCAGAAGCATCACCACTTCTCTTTACCTGAAGCCACAGCCATTCCTATCTCCTGAGAAAAGACTTCCTGGCAGGCTTTAGGAAGCTGACCCTGGGCAGAGGGCTACCTTGTCCACCAACTCCTGCCTCAGCATCTCTACAACTCCTTCTACTCTGAACACAACTCCCTTCCAACACCCTCTGTTCCTTTGTGCTGAGGTCAGGCTGGAATGCCTTTTCACAAGCCTGGAGTTGATAACCCATCATCACCACCTCCTCCTGGAGTCCCTATCCACCCTGCACAGCTGGCCAGGGAGAGCTTGGGTCCATAACTCCAGCTCAATCACTCTCCCTGCCATCTCCGCAGGGGCCCTGGTTACAAGAAGTTGAAATTTGCCTAAAGCCCACCTGGCTGGTACAATGGCACCCAGAGGGCAAATTCAGGCCAGTGGCTCAGAATGCTGGTCATGCATTTTGGGCTCGAACACAGCCCATGGGGCAGGGCCGAGGACATGTGTACCTCATTACCCTGGCAAAGTGGGAAGCAGTAATTAAACCGGGCTCCACTTAGAGAGACAGAGAGGGACATACACAGTCCTAGCATCGCTGAGTGACTTTTCAGCCTTAGTGAAAACATTCAGAACTATAGGATGAGGATGTCTCTCCTTAGGGATGATTCCTGTCCCTGCCAATATACGTAAGGAACTCTGATATGCACTAGCACCTCTAGGACCCATTACACCACAGGGCAAGGAGGTCATAGCTGGCTTTAGTTTTTCCAGGATCAAGGGTTCTAATGCTCTGAGTTGGGCTTTGAGCAGTGAGGACTGGTTCAGGAGAACCATCCACACTCTCCCAGGGCCCTTTGTGAGCAGCTCAGGGTCTGTGAGTCAGATAGTGAAGTCAAGGGTCAGCCTAAGTTCCAGAAGAGGATTTTCCATTAAGAAGCTATGTGTGTGATTCAGTCCTTGACTATCTGTCTTAGCAAACCTAAAGTGCTAGCCATAGAGCTTTGGACCCAATGACATGCTGCCCAAGCAGTCTCTGCAACACCAGGCTCTTCCACTGAGAGTTTACAGTGAGAGTTTCAGCAAAACAGATTCACGGGAAAAGGGAACAAAAAGAAGGGAGGCATCCTGCTGAGTGACACACGTGCACACAGCCTTGAGTACACACATACACAAACACACATGTGAGTACGTTTTGGTGTCAAGTGCAGGAATGCTTATCTAGGGTCTGCCTTCTGCCTCTGTTCACCCCTCACTCACCTCCCTCAGCTCCTTGGCCACCTCCTTGAGTTCCCGCAGGATGCCCTCCAGCTGCCCGATGACCATCTTCATGCGCTGTCGAATCCGCTCCCGCTCGCCACCACTGCTAGGGTCGTCACTGGGCTGCCCGAGGTCCGGGGCGCCCCGAATGTTCATCCTTCACCACGTGGCTGTGGGCCTGCCCATACTCCCCCCAGCCGGGCACACACTGCGTCTGCCTCCACGGAGCCCCCCTCAGCTGGGCAGGGCTCCACATCTTAACGGCCCCCCAGCCCACCCTGGCCCTGGGCGGCCCTCACCCAGCCCCTGCCCCCTGCCACCCCGCCTCTTCTGCCTCTGGGTGGGAAATGGGACACCCAGAGTGGGACAAAGTCTGACAGAGGGTCAAGGTGAGGACACAGGGGGACAGGAGGGGGGGCCTTGGGTCTCAGGAGTGGCCTCCAGGACTTGGCGTGCTGATGGATGTGCAGAGATGAACTCTGGCTGAGCCTGGACACAGAGGCAGGGGGATAATTGCAGGGACTAAGGGTAAGATATGCCCTTGGGATGAGGGGAGGCAGCAGTAAGTAACCCCTTCACAACTCCTAGGCAGGTGGGAAGGCAGAGGTCTGGAGACGCAACTGACACCTGCGGGGGGGTAGTGCCTGGGGTCTTCCAGAGGTGGCAGGAGCTCCAGATGTGGGCAGCTCTGGGAACGGAGCTGGATTGGAGGAGGGCAGCCCCCTGCAGAGAGAGCGAGCCTGGCGTCAGCCCTCCTAGGCTGCAGCACCAACCGGCAATGCCGCTGCCTCCCTACTCTCCCCTTCCTGCACCCTCCGTCGATGGGGATTTATTTATTTTCTTTTTTGTGGGGAGGGGTGGTGGAGGCAGATGGTGTACAGCTCGGCCCTCCTCTAGAGGTGAAGGAGGGAGCCCCCTGCTTCAAAGGCAGAAGTCTTCAGCCAGCGATGGGGCATGCTGGCCGCGGCCCCCTCCCCCAGCCAGGCCTGGCCCCGCTGGTTCAGAAAGCCTCCCCAGTCCACGGTCCTCCCTCCTTGTGCCCTCAGGGTGCCCTCGTTCCCAGTAGACCCTCCTCCACCAGCTCCGCCTTCCCTCAGAACCTCCGCTTCCCGGACTCACCGAGGGTGGGGGCACGGCCTTCCCTCCTAGCAGCGTCGGGGGCCAAGCCCCAAGACGAGGTTGGGGGGCCCCCAAGGCCCCCTAGGGCGGGCTTCTCTCTCTGGACCCTTCGGCCACTGGCCTCAGGGAGGTCCTCCGAGCCGCTGCCGGAAACATCTGGGCGGTGGGAGGGGGCGGGGCCTCCGCGCTCCAGGGAATGTGGCCGGAAAAATCTCCCCCAATCCCCGCCAGGCTTCAGGCAGGGAATGAGCGAGGGTCCGGCGGGCTCGGGGCTCCGAGGCCACAGGTGACCCGGGCGCACAGCGACTGAGATGACGCCGGGCCGGTCCCAGCGCGTGAGCCAAAGTCGGAGAGATCGGAGGACGCTGGGATCCCCTCAGCCCACGCCTGGTATTCCCTGGGCTCGGCACAGTCCAGGTTCACTATGTCCAGTCCAGATCGTGGGGTCTGAGCTCCGCCGGCTCGGCCCTGCCCTGCTGGGAGTGAGCCGGCACAGCCTGGCGCCCGGGACGCGCTTGGCCCGAACCCGGAATGCCTGCGCTCGGGAACCCGCTTGCGCCCGGGGCTGCAGCGAGGGTCTTCTCAACCCAGCCCCGCGGTCCGCCCAGAGCGAGAACGCGCCCAGCACTCAGTCCACGTTCGCGGAGGTCCGGAATCCACCGAGCCCCGGGGGAGGGGCGGTGTCGGCCGCGAGGTACCCAGTCCCCGCCGGGCCGGGCCGAGAGCGCTCGAGGCAGGGGGCCCGGCCGGGCCGGGTTCGGCGGCCCGGGCGCGGGCGGGCGCGGCCCCAAGCGGAAGCAAGGGGGCGAGAGCAGGAGAAGGGAGGGGAAGGGACGGGAGGGGCGCGCGGCGGGCCCGGCGAGCTGGGGCGCACAGGTCTCACTGCCTCGGCTCTGGTCTAGCCGCCTCCTGCAGGTTCGCCCTCAGCCCACCGCCTCCGCAGCCCCCAGACGCCGGGTGGCCGCCGGTGGGGCAAAAAGGCGCCGGGTCCGGCTGGGCCTCCCTCGGCTGCCTCTCCCTGCCCTGCCCCGCCGAGCTCTGCGGGCCGGAGCCCGCTCCCAGAGCACCTCGGCGCCCCGCTGCCCGCGCGCCCACCGCCCCCGACCCTCCCTGCCGTCCCCCGCCGGACTGGCCGCCCGGGCGGGCGCTGGCTCCCTCAAAGGCCGCCCGGCTCGCTCGGCTCCGCTCGTCTCGGCGCTGTCAGGGAAGGGGCCGGCCCGGCGCTCCGGGAGGGAGCTTTTAAAGCGACACACACGCCTCCCAGCGCTGAGCGCCGAGCGCGCAAGCCGGGGGGTCTCATCACCCGGGCGAGGGCAAAGGGTCTTGTGCTTCCCGGACTGCAGACGTCCTAGCCTAGCCTGATTTCGACTGTTCTTGGGCGCGGGGGGGCAGGGGACTGGGGACTTAGTTCCCTTCTTACCGGTTCAGACACCCCCCTTCCACCTTCCTCTACTGCAGTGCATCCCAAGCTTCCCTTTTGACTAAATTTTCCACACCCAGACCCTCCCCTGACCCCTGTTGTTGTTGTTTGCCATCGAGTCGGACCCAACTCATAACGACCCCTCCTTGGGTTTCCGAAGCGATATCACTACGGAAGTAGATTGCCCAATCTTCCTTCCCAGGAGTGGCTGGTGGGTTTGAACCACCAGCCTTCTGGTTAGCAGTCAAGTGCCTTAGGCAGTACGCTACTAGAGCTCCTCCCCTGACCCCTGTCAAGCCTCAAAGTACACTGTCAAGCTTCAAAGTACACTGACTTTATCTTAATCAGATTAATTCAGAAAATAGAATACAGCCAACCTTTATTGAGCACCTTCATACAGTGTGTCAAACTTTCGGCAGGTATGTGTTAGACATAAATTGCTGCATTCAATTATTTGTCCATTTACTCAAAATTTATTAAGCACCTTCTGTTTACCAGGCCCCAAGTTAGGTTCTGGGAACACCGGAAAGAGAAGCAGCATTTCAGGAAGCTCACAGCTCAGAGGTGGAGACTTCAGAGTAAACTGAGGATTGGTAAACGCATGACAAAGGCTAGTTCTAGAACCAATAGTAGTACCTGCCTTCCAACCCAGGCCAGGGCTAGGCAGTTTTCCCAAGGATGCACCCCTGAGCTGAATATCAAAGGAGAAGTAGGAGTAACCCAGGTGACTGTGAGCCTGGGGGAGGTGAGGATGAACATTCCAGGCAGGGAGGAGGATGGGAGAAAAGGCTCAGAAGCAGAAACTGGGGGGTGGGGTTGTTGAGTCAACTGTTGCTTTTAGAGACACCATTGTGGCAGCTTTGTGGAAAGTGGATTGGAAGAAGACCAGTCATGTAGAAACTGGAGACCATGGTTAGGAGCTTGGATTTTATCATGGGGGCAGTGGAACTCTTTGATGTTGGGGAGGAGCCTGGTGCTGCTTCAGGAGAGATCCCTCTAGGGCAGTGTGGATGGTGGATTTGAGGATTAAGCCAGAGAAGAGAAGACCAGTTAGAGGCTGTTAACAAGAATGGAGTTGAGAGAGAGGGATTTCTAGTCATAGGTCCATGGAATCATCTACTGAAGTCCAGAAATAGATGAGTTTGAGCAGGGAGTGGCAGGAGGGAGTGAACTCAGTGCGAGAGGACAGAGATGGGTATTTAATACCTAACAGATCTTGAATCTCATTAATAGAAGTGCAATGTTTAGAAAAAGGGAAGTGACATTCCTTCTTTTTTGTGCAATATCAAAGCATGCCTAAGACTTCAATTTAAGAGCAACCTTGACACACTGAGTGTGTCTAGAGGAGGGCAGTTAGGAGAGGAGTGGACTAGGGTATCTGTCCTGTGAAGAAGGGTTGGGTCCATTAGGGCTAGCAGGAAGAGAGAAGACTCAGGGGAAGGATCACTATAAATCTCCAAAGGGCTGTCCCAGGCAAGAGAATATATAGATAGATTCTAAGTAGTGCTTAGGAGCTCTGGTGGCACAGTGGTTAAAGCATTCAGTTTCTAACTAAAAGGTTGACGGTTCAAACTCACCAGCCACTCCACAGGAGAAAGATGAGGCAGTCTGCTTCTATACAGATTTATAACCTTGGAGACCATTTGGGACAGTTCTACTCCATCCTATAGGGTCACGGTGAGTTGGAATCGACTCCATGGCAGATTTGTTTGTTTTAAGTGGTGCTTTCCTAGTATTTGAGGATTGACCCATCCTTTCCTCCCTGGGCACCAGCCCAGATGTTTCTATCCTTCAGAACTCTGCTTAGTACCCACCCACCCCCACCTCTACCCTCCTTCTAGGCAGGCTTCTCTGATCCTCCAGTCTACTGGGAGGAACAGAGCAATCTTTTGGTCCCTTACCAAACACTTCTCAGGATGGTTATTTGATATGCTAGCTGTATGACCTTGGGTGAGTCTCTTAACCTCTCTGAGCAGGGATAAGGAGCCCATAAACATTTATATTTTTTCCTGAACTGGCTCTCTTAAAAGAAAATGTTTCCTACTCTCTTTGAATCAGAAAAAAATAGGGATGATAATATTACCCACTTTACAGGGTCATTGTGAACATGGAATAAGATAATACACAAGGCAGTAATTGGCCCAGTGCCTGGCACCTGGTAGTACCATGGATGGTGGCTGCTGTCAGCTGTTATTCACACCTTCATGTCTATGTTTAATTTCCTTGTGAGACTGAACTTCCCAGAATGGTGTCTGTGTCATGTCTACCTTTGTCCCCCACGTAGATCAGAGTAGTAGACTGTGGCAACTAGTGACTTTGACCGCTCCAGCCTGCTCTCCATCACCCCACTTCTGGCATCCCTTTCCTTTGGAAATTCCTCCATTACTACATAGCACTCGTAGGGTGTCAGTTAAAATATCCTCTACTCCCATCCATCCCCACTCTGTGGCCATCAGACTGCACCAGTCATAGAACCTCATCCCCCCAACAACAATGATTGGCCCTAGGAGTGGATACACGACCCAAGCAGAACCAAACAGACTCTTACCCTGAGATTGATATATAGATGTTGAGAGGAAGAAATCCTCTTCCTACCAGGGGAGGTGTGGGGGTGAGG